TGGACTGCAAGGAGATCCAACCAGTCCATCCTAAAGGAGATCAGTCCTGGGTGTTCATTGGAAGGACTGATGTTGAAGCTGAAACTCCAATACTTTGGCCACCTGATGCGAAGAGCTGACTCATTTGAAAAGTCCCTGATGCTGGGAAAGATTGAAGGCAGGAGGAGAATTGGATGACAGAGGATGAGATGGTTGGATGGCATCACTGACTCAATGGATATGAGTTTGGGTAAACTCCAGGAGTTGGTGATGGACAGGGAGGCCTGGCATGCTGCGGTTCATGGGGTCGCAGAGTTGGACATGACTGAGCAACTGAACTGAACTGAACTTCAATCCCCATGCCACTTGTCTTTATTCTTACCAGAATAATCATCCTAAAATGTAAATTTTTGCTTATTTAACTCCTTCTCTGGTATCCTATTGCCCATAGAACACTTCCAAGTTTCATAATATGGCACCTGCTTGTCTCTCTACCTTTATTTGCTGCCATTGCAGTATCACTGGTAACACCACATTCCATTTTCCCCACACTCCCTGAAGAGTTTTGTTTCATTTCTTTCGTTTTTGCCTGATAAGGGAAGGGAGAGCCTTTACTCCCATCCCTTTTACCTCGTGAACTTCAGCTTATTCATTCTCACTTTGAACAAGAAGTCTTACACCCCTACCTTCCCTGCCCCTGGTGTTGCTTCTCTGTATTTCCAGAATATTCTGGTCATCTCTCATTACCCAGCCACGTTATTTTATTGCTTTTTTCCCCCAATTCAGATGTCCAGTTTATTTATTTATTTTTAACTTTTTATTTTGTATTGGAGTATAACCAATTAAAGATGCTGTGATAGTTTCAGGTGAACAGTTAAGGGACTCAGCCATACATATATATGTATCCTTTCTCCCCCAGACTCCCCTAACATTAGCCAGGTTGTTTTAAAATTATTTGTTTAGTTAGTGTTCAATTCTTTTATGGAAAAAACTGACTATATTCATTTTTGTGCTTAAAACAATGTCTGGCTCTTATTGGGTGTTCAGATGACTGAACGGGTGAGTGACTGAAGATCTAGAAAGTTAAAATGACTTTTTCATTCATGTTGCTTGTAGGTGACCAAATTGAGACTAGAATAGAGGTGCCTCTTTTGTTGCCTCATGCTACAGACCAATATTTCTTCTAGTACATTGTGTAAAACCGGATGAGTACAACATTTATTGTGTAATACTGAATAAGTCACTTTAAGCTAGTTTGCATATGATTAAGATGATTAAATTATTCCTTTGTAAATAATGAAGTTTTTGATGTACTATACCTATGGGAGCCTGTTTCTGGTACATGAATAGTTTTGATTGAAATTTAATATTCACAACGAGGTAAGACAGTGCAAGTAGATTTCAAAGTAATTTGGAGAAATCAAAATGGTCTTTTAATGACTATATTTTGAGAAGTCAGCTAAAATTTAAAAGATAATGTGACAGATTTCAGGTATACTGTTTAAAAGATTCTGTGGGTTTTAGTTTAAAATACCTAAAGCTAGAAATGGTGAAATTTGGGAAAAAATTACATTGTAGGAATAGCTTAATAATGTTTGAATCAAATTTGTAGATACAAATTCTAACATACAATGACTCTTATGCCTTCACGTTCTTCCATTTTCTGTAGCACATTGCAGAAATCAGTTGGGATTTAGAAAGTAAGACCCCAGACATGACTTTATAGAAGAAAAGAGAAGCATATTCCAATCTGGGTATATTTCCAAATTCAGAAATTTTAAAGAAACAGGTTTTTTTTTTTAAGTGAAGCATCAGAAAAAGAAATGGGTCAAAGCTGAAATATTCCTTAATATCATCCAATATGTTTTGTGTATGTATGAGAGTTTCCCCAGTTGTTTCTAAAAGTTACTTTTACAGTTGATATATTGAAACAGGATCCAGCAGTGTCCACACATTGTTCGGTTGGTATGTCCTTGAGCCTTTCTTTATCTATAACAGTTTCCTCTCCCTTTTCCCTCCCATGCCTTTTATTTATTTATTTAAAAAATTGTCATGTTTATTTTCTCACTATGTTGCAAAGTCAGAGTTGGAATGTATTATTTTATCATTAAAAATTGTTCCTTCCCTTCTAGGCACTATCTAGGGCTCTGAAAATCTTTCAAGTGAATGTCAAATGAAGTAGGTCTTCTGGGAATCCTAGCTGAGTTCCCAAGGGCTAGGAAGGCCATTTTCTTCATAAGTCCTACCCAGTTTAGGGCATCATAAGAGGCCCTGCGGCTCTTAGTCTCCTCACTGTATCCACTAGGTTAGCCAGAACCTACCAGTTTGAGAGACGGGTAGATGTGCCTGGCTGCCCCACCAAGAGATTGGACTGATGGGCCTCCTCCCATGGTTTCAATGACTAGAATCCAAAGGTAGCTTTCTACTTTGGGGACTGGGTACTCAGCATATGTAAGTTCACTGGAACCCTGTGTAGGAAACTGCCAGGTCTGGTTATAAGAAAAGTTTGTGCCGTCACCCCCACCCACATGTTTCCCAGGAAGCAGGTGTCCTGGAGACAGAGTATGTAAGGGCTCTACAATCTTCTGTGTGGTTATTTGTGATATTTTTTCTTTCCCTATATTTATGAGGCTCCTAGGAAGGAGCCAGGAGCGTGTAGACCCCAGCTGGGGAGAGTAAAGGTGACTGATTCCAGTTTTCTGTGTGTCCTTAGCTCTGTACTTGCTTGTATCGCTGCTGGCAAGGTGAGCAGGCCTCCCCGTGTTTACGATCCTAGGCTTTCCACTTGTGTATTCCCAGGCTGGCAAACTTTGGAGCCTCCGGGCTCTGAACGCTAGACAGTGGTCATTAAAACCCGGCTTGAGTCTCTGTTCTGGCATTAAAAAAATTGTTCCTGACACCTAATAGACAATGTTTGCTGAATAATGTTAATAATACTGAAGGTCTGTGTTTTATTCCTACAGGTTGATCTGAAAGACTACATGTTCAGTGGACTGAAGGATGTAACAGTAGGTCGCTTACCTGGGAAAGTGGCAGGACAACAATTTCTCATTCAAGACTGTGAGAACTGTAACATCTATATTTTTGATCACTCTGCTACCGTTACTATTGATGACTGTACTAACTGTGTCATTTTTCTGGGACCCGTGAAAGGCAGCGTGTTTTTCCGGAATTGCAGAGATTGTAAGTGCGCATTAGCCTGCCAACAGTTTCGTGTGCGGGACTGTAGGAAGCTGGAAGTCTTCTTGTGCTGCGCCACTCAGCCCATTATTGAGTCTTCCACGAATATCAAGTTTAGCTGTTTTCAATGGTACTACCCTGAATTAGCTTTCCAGTTCAAAGATGCAGGGCTCAGTATCTTCAATAATACCTGGAGTAGCATTCACGACTTTACACCTGTGTCAGGAGAACGCAACTGGAGCCTTCTTCCGGAAGATGCTGTCGTTCAGGACCATGTTCCTCTACCTACTAGCGAAGAGCTCAAAGCTGTCCGCGTTTCCACAGAAGCCAGTAGAAGCATCGTTCCAGTGTCCCGGGGTCAGAGACAGAAGAGCAGTGATGAGTCATGCTTAGTGGTATTATTTGCTGGTGATTATACTATAGCAAATGCCAGAAAATTAATTGATGAGGTAAGGAAAAGAGAGAGAACCAAAACAGATATACACCTATATATGAACAAACCACTTCCTGGAGAACATCCATTCTTTTCAAATTGGCTATTAGAAATACAGGCAATCCTTAAATTATAGTCCTCTGCCCACTATGGATTTATCTGAAGCTAGGCCTCAAGTACTTTCCCAAAGAAACTTTAACAACATAATTCAATTCATGAAGCATCCGTTAAGCACTCATTATGTGGAAGTTACTGTTACCATATTTCATTGATTATAGGATATACCTTTGTTTTCCAGTTTTGCTTCTCTGAAATGTGTCTTACAACTGTTGGAAGTTTAGAGCTGATGAAATGTAATATATGCTGGGAGGAGAGATACACAGACAAAATTATCTGCCCTCAAAGAATTTCCATTCTTTATCACAAAAGTAGTACTACAAAGTGAAGCATGACCTTTTATAATTACTTACTGGGGAAATTTATCTAGAGTTTTTAATTATTTAGCGTGTGGGAAAGACATTTAGGAATTCAACTGTTGGAGCTTGTTTTGACTGTGAGAGCAACCTCCACATTACTTTCCTTACTTCACTTTGCCCTATTGCCATGAAGAGGAAGTTCGTGTGATAGAATGAGGTGGCAGCTGGGACACCAGAGGTTGTAGGCTCATGATCAGGGGCTTTTAGTGCATTCAGGAGTAGAGAAGGGTTCTTTGGGTAGCAAAATTCACTTGAGAAATAGTGGGAATCTGGAGGTTAGGGGTTCCAGAAGTAGTAGTTCCTGGTTGGTGGGTGCTCCAATGGGGAGGCAGCAGTAGGATGTACTGATTATCCATTAATCAAGCTTTCTTCAGGAAGTCTCTTTGAATTTGAAAATCAAACTTCCAGAAATGGAGAGGTGAACAGAAAACTCCTTTTGAATGGATTTTTTTTTATGTTGTAACACTTCTGTCAAAAAGAATGGTTTTAGAAAAAAAAACAACTACAAGTGACTGCTTCTCTGTAGCTTATACATTCCACAATGTAGAAAGCCCATGTCTGAAATCTACAAAGTATATCTGAGGTCCAGTTTTCCAAACAACTGAAGCCAAGTATAATCTTAAGAATTTGATATTTTCTTTTTTGATTATGCCAATCTGATAAACATGTCCTGTGGATCTGGTGGGATGTAGAAAAAGTGCTCTGGCTTTTGAGCTGTCTAATCACATGTTAATCCAACATCTGAGGTAAACATTTTCATTATACTGTATGGTGATTTTTTTTTAAATCTACATACAGTTTTCAAAAGAAGTAATTATTCCGGTTAAACTCCTCTTTGGTTGATAGTTCAAAGAGGACATAAAGAATGTATAATATGTTTAAAGAAAAAAGCCATCGAAGCAAACACTGTCATTCTTCATGAGTCATCAGACATTCTTAACCTTTTAACTTGGTATCTGATATGTGAAATGACAGGTTGTGTACACTTGAAAGTAACCTGATCAGGAAGATTTGTGTTCTTTATATAGCCTTCTGGATTACAGAATAACTGAAATAAAAATGCAACAATAACAAGAATAAAAATGATGACAGTAATAATGATAGCTAACATTTATATAGTGTTTATTGTATAGTATTTAAGTGAATTAACTCACTTAATTCAGAATAACCTATGAAATAGGTTCCATTGTTCCTCTTTATACTGATAAGAAATTGAGTCACAGAGAAAGTAAGTAACCAGCAAGAGGTCACTCCCTGGTGAGTAGCAGAGCCATGATTTAAATCCAGGGAGTTTGGCATTGTAGACCATAGTCTTAACCCTTAAGCATGATACTCTTATGCTGCCTCAGAGGTAAAGGAAAGTTGATAAATGCCTGGTGGAGTAAAAGTGTGACCAAGAGTGTGTGAAGGTAAAGCAGATACTACCCTCCAGCCTAGAAGGAAAAACCATGGAACTTTTTGGCTAGAGTATCCTAACCTAATTCTGAAATCACAGAATAAAGAGAACAAAAAGAAGAAAATGCCAAGTACATGTGAACAGGGTATTACAACGTGCTGAAAGACCAGTGACTTACATATTAAGAGAGAGATTACATAGCTTTTTTTAAAAAATGAAGCTAGAGTTCCCTGGACAATATGTGTAGAAGCTAGTTAGTGCTGATATGGAAAAAATAAAACTTGGGTCTTTCCATATCATAACACAAATGTCTTAAAACAGCTTAGACTAAAACTGTGATTGCTAGCTCTGGTTTTGTTAAACCCTAGGAGTAGCACAGAATTTTTTTCATACTGTTTTCATAAATTAAAGCTATTGTAATAGTTTTTTGAGATAGAAATTATAAAACTTGAGAGAGTAGAAAGTCTAGAAAAACTGGGTAAACCAGAAAACACATTCCATAGGAGTCAAGAGAAGTTCTCATTGTTCAGTCGCTTGGTCATGTCCACCTCTTTGGGACCCGATGGACTACAGCACACCAGGCTTCCCTGTCCTTCACCATCTCCCAGAGTTTGCTCAAATTCATGTCCATTGAGTCAATGATGCCATCCAACCATCTCGTCCTCTGTCATCCAAGATGGTTGGATGGCATCACTGGAGCCTCAGTTTTCTCATCTAAAAATCAAATTTCCTGCTGGCTCTTAACTGCATCACAGATATGCATAGGATAAAGTAAAAGTAGTTTGACTTGTTTGGAAGTAACCACATGCATACATGCTCAGTCATGTCCGACTCTTTGTGACCCCATAGACTGTAGCTCACCAGACTCCTCTGTCCGTGAAATTATCCAGGCAAGAACACTGGAGTGAGTTGCCATTTATTCCTCTAGGGGATCTTCCCAACCCAGGGATTGAACCTACGTCTCCTACTTCTGCATTGGCAGGCTAGTTCTTTACGACTGCACCATCTGGGAAGTAAAGTATTGGACAATTTAAGTTGGGTAGTTACTGCTACTTTCAAGTCTTTAAAAGTAGAATTTTCATGAAACAGTTTCTTCACATGTCTGCAGTGAAATATCAAACTAGATATACTAGTTTCATAGTTCATTACTTGATTTTAGGTAATGGTATTTTGAATTAATCATCTTATTTTTGTCAGTTTATGTGTCTGACTATAAAATGAGAGGTAATGAGCAGTCTAGGGAATTAGAAACAGATGTAGGATTGTTTTTGATATTTTAAGTAACTTTGCAGTCATCATCTGGCAGTGATGTTTATGTAATTTTCTTCTACTTTTTTAATGGGTGTTTCTTTTTTTTTCTGAGGCAACATTGAGGGCTCTGAAAAAGGATTTGAGTTTGAATCCAATTTGATGAAATGGTATAGAATAATGTAGTCATAGAATGAAATACTATCAAACATTAAAACTGATTTTATAGTAGAATAGTTGGAAAATGTTCACAACTAAGTAAGTGAAAATTTATAAAATATTATGTATCTAATTTTTTAAGTAGATAAGTCTGGAAAGTTATATATACTAAAATGTTAATAGTCGTAGTTCTTCTTAGGAAGTGGATTAAGAGCAGGGTTTTCTTGTTTTTAGTTCTATGGATTTTACATAAAACCTGTATTATTTCTGTAATGGGGGGAACAAAAACTGGAAGGGTAAAAGGAAGTATACCAGAACCTCCCTGGTGGAGTGGTCCAGTGGTTAAGACTCTGAGCTTCCTCTACAGGAGGCATGGGTTTGATCCCTGGTTAGGGAACTTTTAAGATCCCACAAGCCATGTGGCATGGCCCAAAAAAGAAGGTGTACCTATTGTAGCAGTGGCATCTTTGAGTAGTGGCAGTTTGGTCGATATTTCTTTGTTTTTGTTTTTTTTCTTAATGTTCTATATTGAGCTTATTTGTTACTTTTATGATTAAAAACTCAATAGGCTTTAATTGGTTGAGTCAACTTTGCATTTTTTAAAAATCTATTTATTTTTAATTGAAAGATAATTGCTTTACAGAATTTTGTTGTTTTCTGTCAAACCTCAATGAGAATCAGCCATAGGTATACGTATATCCCCTCCCTTTTGAACGTTCCTCCCATCTCCCTCCCCATTCCACCCCACTAAGTTGATACAGAACCCCTGTTTGAGTTTCCTGAGACATACAGCAAATTCCCTTTGGCTATCTATTTTACATATGGTAATGTAAGTTTCCATGTTACACTCTCCATAATTTTGCATTTTTAAAGACTATTTTCATAGTTTTATCTTATCTTAAAATTAATGTATACTCATTGTATATATGACTGAACAGTCCTATTCCTAAATATTTACCCAAGATGGATGAAAATTATTATTACACAATAAATTGTATTTGCATGTTTTAAAAAAATGTGTACTCATTGTAAAGAACTATAGAAATAGAGTAGAAAGAAGCTTTTTATGCTGTACCTTGAATTATCTTTGTAGGAATAATTTTTAATTTAGTCTGTAATCACATTTGAGCAAACCCAGAGAGATAGTTAAGGACAAGGAAGCCTGGTGTGCTACAGTCCATGAGCTTGCAAAGAGTCAGACATGACTTAGCAACTCAACAACAACAGTCAGATTAATTGGATTCAAAGCACAGCTCTGTCACTTAATAGTTGTGTGAACATGGGCAGATGTCTTACCCAGTCTGTGCTTTAATTTCTCATCTGTAAAATGAGAGTAATAATAGTATCTGTCTTGTAAGAGGGTTAAACATGTTATACATATAGAATACATAAAACTGCCTGGCACATAAGTGCTCCATAAACATAATCTATCATTGTTGTGCTATATTATGTAAATTTGAATCATGGTTTTTAAAATTAACATTATTATATAAGCTTCCCCCATTATTGTTATATTTAATGAACTATGTTATTTTATCACGTTATTACTTAACCATTCTCCTCTCATTGGACATTTGCACTATCACCAAACTAAAGCTTTTATTTGTTAGTTTCAGTCAAAAAAATTTTAAATAATACTTAAAATTTTGAGGGCTAATTTATGTTTCTTTGGCTCTTAATTGTAACAGTAAGCATTGCAGTACTAATTCTTAACCAGAACCATGCATCTGAAAGGAAGAATCTCGTGTATGTGAAAACTTGTTACAGTGCTGCTGCTGCTAAGTTGTTTCAGTCGTGTCCGACTCTACGCAACCCCACAGATGGCGGCCCACCAGGCTCCCCCATCCCTGGGATTCTCCAGGCAAGAAAACTGGAGTGGGTTGCCATTGCCTTCTCCAATGCATGAAAGTGAAAAGTGAAAGTGAAGTCACTGAGTCGTGTCCGACTCTTGGTGACCCCTTGGACTGCAGCCTACCAGGCTCCTCCGTCCATGGGATTTTCTAGGCAAGAGTACTGGAGTGGGGTGCCATTGCCCTCTCCTTGTTATAGTAAACACCCTGAATTACAGTTCTAACTAAAATGAAAATCAGAGTGCTGTGTTGTATTTTATATAGAAAAATTGTAGAATAGGAAAACATTGTTTTAGCCTCAGGTCATTTTAAAATCTGAATGAAATTTTATTTCCCACAGATGGTTGCTAAAGGCTTTTTCCTAGTTCAGACAAAGGAGGTGTCAATGAAAGCCGAAGATGCTCAAAGGGTTTTTCGTGAAAAAGCACCTGACTTCCTTCCTCTTTTGAACAAAGGTACCTTCTGGATGATTGGTATATTTTTTGTGGTTATTCTCTTAAACTGCTGTTTTGACTTGCCTTTACTCTTGCCTTTAGTATTTCTCTTAAATTGTCTTCTCTTTGTCATTTGTTTTATGTTTTTCCTGTTACCATTCAGAAATGTCAAAATTTCACATCATTCAAAATGCCATGTATAATTAACTAGACATTAGTGAAGTGAAAAGTGAAAGTGTTAGTCTCTCAGTCATGTCTCTTTTTGACCCCATGGACTGTAACCCGCCAGAGTCCTCTGTCCATGGAATTCTCCAGGCAAGAATACTGGAATGGGTTGCCATTCCCTTCTCCAGTGGTCTTCCCTACCCAAGGATCAAACCTGGGTCTTCCACATTGCAGACAGATTCTTTACCGTCTAAGCCACCAGGGAAGCCCCAAAGACAGATGGAAGGGACCTCATACGTGTGAAGCACATGCTTTACCACTGATCCGCAACCCACCCTGCAACTAGACATTAGGCATTAGGTTTCTTCCTTCCCCTGTTCTATCATCTTAGTTCTTGAAAGTCACATTTTATTATTATGTATTTTATCATGTTTAATTATTATTTTATTATTGTTGTATTATTATACTATAGTGAGTGATCATTTCCTTCTCCCTGCCAGTTATAAAGCACTCAATAAGGATTCTTTCTGCCTTCAGTGAGTGTGCTTTGACCATACTGGAAAAGAAATAAGACATATAAATCAAAGGGCATACCATTCTGTGTACTTAACATGATTGATTAAGTTTCTATGCATAATTAGAATTGTTTTCCCCAGTGGGCAAATGCCACCAGTAAATTTCAGATGCTGGAAATATGTCTACAAACAGAGGAACTAGAGTTCATATGTACTCCTGAAGTGTTGCTGTTTGTCTCCATGTATTTGAAGGTGTCCTGATTGTGGAAAACAGAGTTCATCAGTCAGAGCAGGGATGTTGTTTGCTGAAGGCTCATCAGGCTTTTCTTGACTGGCCTGAGAAAAATATATAATAATACATAATGATGATTGGATATACCCTGGAAAGGGGGCACATCTGTATTCATATGCTCTTTATGTATAAATAAGTTGTAATAAACTGCAAAAAGCTATAGGAAAATATTGGAGGATTGTTAGGGTAATCTTAATAACTAATGCTGGGTGTGATTCAGCCCTTAAGTATTAATACAGTATATTTTATATACTTTTGGGATTCCTCTGGTAGTACCATAGACTGTCTCTAACCAGTGTATGAATCTAACCAGTGTATATAATCCAGATTATATATAGGAAATTATGACCTGGCTCCTTTGATGCAGCCTTATTGATACAGGAGCATTCTGATGGAACCTTGAAAATAAATCTTTAAACCCTTAGCAGCTTTCAGAAAATTGAATCAAATAATAAGTGTAATAGACATCTGAAAGTGTGAGGATTAGGAATGAAGTGGGCATATGAATAGATCTAAATTAATGATTTATATGCTTGTGTAATGTTAGTGAAGTGGTTTCATAGAATTGCTCTAACCCAACCATAGTATGTGTTTTTAAGTCACATAACATTCCACGTGGAAGAAGTGTTCTGTTCCTGCAAAAAGTAGAACTCAAACTAATGGACAGATGTTTTAAGAATTCCAGCAAATAAATATATAAACAGCTTTTAAAATCAGAGATGTCCATAGGAAATAGTCAGAGACTGATGAGGCCATGTCAGAAGGTCACAGGTGTTGGTTTAAAGGAATTTCCACTGGTCAAATTTGGGACAATTTGAGCATCAAAAGCATAATGAAGTAGGGAGTGTGGGTTCAATCCCTGTTTAGGAAACTAAGATCCCACATGTCACATGGTGTGCCCCCCCCCAAAAAAAAACGCCCACAATAATGAAAGAAATTGATTTAACAACAACAGAAATCCATGCATCCATAGTGGTAATAAAAAAGAGGAGAGAGGAAATTGGTACTGGAACCATGGACCAGCATACCCAGTCAGCTTGGAATCTACCTAACTGTATGGTCTACATGAATATCATGAATGACTGCTAGATAGTCCCATGATCCAGAAGCTTCCTATGTATGTGTTTGTCACTCAGTCGTGTACGACTCTTTGTGACCCCATGGACTGTAATCCACCAGGCTCCTCTGTCCATGGAACACTGGAGTGGGTTGCCATTCCCTTCTCCAGGGGATCTTTCCAAGTCAGGGATTGAACCTGGGTCTCTTGCATTGTGGGCAGATTCTTTACCATCTGAGCCACCAGGGACGCACTCTTCCATTAGCTTGAAATGACCAGTTCTCCAGGACCCCAAATGGTCTCGTAGTAATAATCAGTTTCTCATCTAGGTAATCACAAACAAATCATCTGTTTAAAATTTGTTTTTATAAGCTGAGGAATATCTCTATAAAATTCATCAGCCCATGCTTTTTATCTAATTTGAAAAATCAATAGTATTTAATATATTCAGTTAATAAATGTGTATTAAGCACCTGGAGAAGGGAATGGCAACTCCAGTATTCTTGCCTGGAAAAGTTCATGGACAGAGGAGCCTGGCGGGTTGCCCATGGGGTCGCAAAGAGTCAGACACGACTGAGCGAATAACACACACACACACACACACAAGCATCAAACAAAAGGGTGGGCAGGGAGAGAGGGAATAAGGAAAGCTCTTCTGCTCTTTACAGAATACTGTGGGCTAATAAACACAGAATGATAGACTTCAGAAATCACTATTTTCCAAACCCTGATGTAATAATTAATTCAAAGGTTATCAATGAATGCTAAAATTATTGGGGTATAAGTTGATGAGAAGTAGGATACACACATTCTAATTCAAATGGGAACTGTACCTTTACATCAGGGTACTTAGCATCAGTGATGGCAGAGCGACTTGGCATTGTATTTCCCCTGATGTGATGGCAATAATATACAACATCATCTGTTAAGTATTCTTGCCAAAAATATTTTACCTGAATCTAACTGAGCCCAGACTTACCTTCTAGTTTATAAGGAATAAAGGAAATCTGGAGACATGTTAAATGACACCATGAGGGAACAATGAGACAAATAAAAAATGGAAGACATTTTACAAGGTAACTGGCGAGGACTCTGCAGACAACATCCTTGGAAAAAAAAACAATGGGGGAACTGTTCTGGATTAAACAAAACCTAACAACTAATGAAAGGAATGAACCTTAATTGGATTTTGGATTAGGGTGGGGTGAACTCTAAAGTTGTAAAAGTCATTTTGGGGACAACTGGGGAATTTTGAAGGTGATATTATGGAATTATTGTTGTAGCCTTAAGTATGATAATAGTATTGTGGTCATTTATATGATGACCACATGATTTATATGATGTTTAGCAACATCCTTGGCCGCTACTGACTAGATGCCAGTAGCACACTACGCCAATTATGGCAACCAAAAGTGTTTCCAGACATTGCCAAATGCCCCTTCAGGGGCTAAATTGCCCCCAGTTGCAAACCACTGTTATGAGAGGGGAGGGGAGTGGACTTACCCTTTGGAAATTTTGCTTTTATTTCAAATAGTTTTTTAGAGTCTCTAAATTTTCGTCATCAGTTAAAGTAGTCACAATTATTTCCTTTCAATTAATGAAGCTATTTGACAGCTTAATGAGAGAATTCATTGTGTTTTTCATCCTGAGAATCTTTCGAATCTGACTGATTCTCAGAACTGCATGGGGCACTATTAAAGATTTAAATTTCCAACTCCCACTTCAGGACTGATTCAAATATCTCTGAGATATTCCCTTGGCATCTGCATTTTACAAAGTTCCCCATATGGTTCTGATGCTTAGTCAGATTTGGGTTCCTTTGTTTTAAAGGATCATTCATTCATTTATTCAGCAAACATAGATGAGATATGAGAAGTAGTAAAGGAAGAATCAGATAATATAGGGCCATGTGAGCCACTGTAGAGACTTTGGCTTCTAGTTTGACTGAGATGAGAATCTACTAGACATTTCTATTTTTTTAAATAAACTATATTGGAATAATTTTAGACTTTCAGAAAAGTTACAAAGGTAGTACAGAGAGTTTTACTACTTACCTTCCTCTTATGTTAACATAAGCATGGTACATTTGTCAAAACTTTACATTGGTAAAATACTCTTTATTCAAGCTATAAACCTTATTCAAATTTTACCGGGGTTTTTTTTTTCACATATGTCCTTTTTCTGTTCCAGAATTTAATTCAAGATCCTACATTGCATTTAGTCATCATATCTCCTAATCTCTTCTAATCTATAACAGTTCCTTAGTCTTTCCTTGTTTTTCATAACTTTGAACTATTTGAACAGTACTAGTAAATTATTTTGTAGAATGTCCCTCAATTTGTGTGTGTCTTGGTGTTTTCTCTGGTTATACTGAGGTTTTGAGTTTTGGAGGAGAGGTGAAGTGCCTTTCTCATCACATCACATCACATCACACCACACCATAGGGCATGTGATAGCAACATAACTTAATGCTGGTGATGTTGCCCTTAGTGACTTGGTTCAGGTGGTATCTGCCAGGTTTCTTAAACACTGTAAAGTTCCTTTTTTCCCCTTTCTATACTCTTTGGGTTCTTTCTATGTTTTTTGGACGTTGGATCTCTAAGACAAGTCTACACTCAAGAAGAAGGAATTAAGCATCACCTCCTAGAGAGAGGAGTATCTACATACATTATTTGGAATTCTGTACAAAAGATTTGTCCCTTCTCTCCCATTTATTCAGTCATATATGTCTGTCAGTAGGGACTCATAGATATGTATTTTATTCTTTGGGTTATAGTCCAATACTATTAAATTGTTCCAGTTTTACTCTTTGGGAGCTCTTTCAGGTTAATTCCTCTGTCTCTTTGACATGCCTTTTATTTCCTTTTTCTGGCATTATTGTGTTGGCTAGGTCTTGTTGTAGAAACTAGTGAGAAGAGGACATCTCTGCCATGTTTCTGATCTCAGGATAAAAGTGTTCAGTCTCACCATTAAGAATGATGTTAGTTACAGA